AATACCTTTGTGTTACTTTTTGAGTTTTGTGTTTGAAAAATAAAGTGGCCTTGAAAGGAAGGTCTGAATAGACTTTGGGCTTCACATTTAATCCTTCCTGGAGTGGAGACAGGCCAGCAACACACCAACTTAATTCTGAAAGATCTGAATGTTAGATAATAATGGAGAGGGTGCTCTGGAAATAAACCAAAAGAAGGAAGACAGTTGAGAGAAATCTCAACACACATACACAGAGAATACAGCTACAGTATATTCCCATGCTAAAATCTAGACATATTGATGGTGTCACTCTGGTTCAGAACTCTACACTCCATTACAGCAACACGTGAAAACCTTTTTATTGTATTGCTAATAATTTGACAAACTTTAAAAAAAAAAGACAAGGAATCTAAATTTTCCAGGCCCAGGAAAGGAGTGGAAAAGAAAGGTGAGGATGTATTTGGAACCTATGGAGAAGATTCAAGCTTTCCCTTTTCCACTTCCTTGGTATGGCCTTGTCTTGGAGAGAACGATTCTGGGTGGACAACTGTGGCTGGATGGCCAGATGCTCCTTCTCCTATACAAGGACACAACCTTGATTTGGAGGTGGTTTCAATTTCTCACCCCTAATTCTGATGTAAAACAGTTGTTCCTTGTGTGAATTAGAATTCCTGGTGGCCTTAAAGGGTAATGGATAGCAAGTATCAGACTTTTAGGGTATGTCCACACCTCCGCTTGGAAGTGAAATTCGCAGCTCCAGTAGACATACACACATTAACTCTGCTCAAGCTACTGTGCTAAAACAGGCAGTCTGGCCACAGCAACACAAGTAGCAGCTCAGCTAGCAGCCTGAGTACAATCATGCCCAGCTCTTTGGGTATTTACTTAAGCACTTAGCCTGAGCCAGTGTGTGTGCTGCTGTGAGCAAAGTGCTCTTTTTAGCATGCTAGCTCCAGGAGAGCTACTGCATATATGTCTACCCGAGCTGGGAATTACACCTCCCAGCTGTTGTGTAGACATACCCTTCGACAAAAATTTCCCTGCTACATTCAGGCAAGACATAAAAAAAGTAACACTAAGGAAATATTAAGAGAAAGTGATTAGTTACCTACCTACAAAAAAGTCTTTAGAACGGCAGTTCTGAGCTACTACACGATTACCACCCCTCGTTTGTCTGTTTTAAATATAGTGAAAAATGGCAGTATCTCAGATGCTGCTGTGTGCTGACTCTTGGTAAATGTGGACTTTTTGACAACCACTTTACCTGTCTCTATTTCATGGTCTCCAGCCACTGAATGGGATATTTTTGTCTCTTAGTGCAGGATGCCGTTTTGGTGACCCTTCTCTGTATAGTAAGTGGCACAATGCTAATAAGTTCCAAACAGTAGATGGCATCTCTTCAGTAGTAGCTTTTTTAGTTCATTAGACATGGCTGCCTGCTGGGAAGCAAACTGAGAACAAGATAGAGAAAGTCACCATTGAAAATACAAATAAATCAACAAGGTGGCTATGTGGACATCTACACATGTTCTCCAAGCACTACAGGTGAGGTGTACAGGCTTCAGAAGATGCCACCTGTGGTAGAAGGGTGCCATGCACTGTGGTGCCTCAGTCACCTTTGTCATTCAGGCTCTTCTTTTCTATCTTTGTGCATAGTTATGGGAGCCCTCCCTTGTGGTTCCACTGCTCTAAAAACTCGATTGTTGGAATGGTGAGCCTGAAAGGAGACAAATCACTAGATAACAAATCTCCTATTTTACAGTCCAGTTTTCCCTTTCATTTGTTCCATCCATGGTAGGGACAATACTGGGGCAGGAGTTTTGTAGATTAGACCAGCTTCATCATTCTTTTTTATAATCTGTTTTTGAAATTAAATCCTTTGTCTGTCTGGTAGGTAGGACAGGTGGGATTTCTAAAACGCATAGTAAGATTTAGAAAATATAGACAACTTTAAAGAGAGCCAGGTAGTAAATTCAGGTCAGCCAAAGATACTACAATGAAATGGTTATTGTATATAGGAACCACTGCCCTCTACTAGATGGAATTACAACTGATCAGATGTAGACCATATACCTAGTACTGCTAACAGCTTGTGGCAATTCTTGTTTAGCTTTTGGAATAGATCTAATGTATCCCCACTGATACCAAGCAGCCACGGATGTTAATGATCGTTGTGTGTCCAAGGACCTGTCACAATACCATATCAAGTATGCTTAGAACATACTGTGGTTTCCTTTAACCGTGTACCAAGTGTCACTTATCAGAACCACATAGTTTTGTATCTCCAGCTGACAGCTCAGTTAACCAGGAATTGATGTCTTACTATAATGGAGTTATCAATGAGCGACACCTCCTACATAGCTTCCAGGTCACACTCACTTAAGCAATGATAAAGGAGTATGAAATACCGTTAATCACAAAACAAGACCATAAGCATACAGTTTTTAGTTTGCGAATCTTCAGACAGTTACAGTATCTGAGAGCCTTCTAAGGTTTTATGGAGGTTTTTAATCCTGTTAAAAACATGCCAGATAGTATCGGGTGGAAAATGCTGTTATAAACATTTTTGAAACATTTTACTACAGATATTCATAGCAAGTATTAGAGCTTGCCTGTTTTGGGGTGATAAAAACATTAAGCTGGTAAACATGAAAGTGTTTATTGCAGCTTGTTGGTATCCCAACATCTACATAACTCCATCCTTAATCCCATTCCAAAGCCCAAGCAAAGCTCTGTGAAATGGAAAAACACTTGGAGCGTAAATGTTGGCAGTTGTGAAATCTGTTTGCCTGAGGTTCCTATGAATAACGACAGATACATTGACTGGGAAACTGGAGGCTTGCATTTAAGCAAGAGTCAAAACCTGACTAAATCCATGGGAAAGTAGCTCTGCAACTCAGGTTAGTCCCCAGTGTTATTTACATAAATTCCTTTCTTGGAATCTTAATTTCTAGTAAGAATTAGCTGACCTTACTTCCCAAGGCTGCTGCCCCAGGGTACCATAGCATTACATCACTCTGTGACAGGGAGTGATGGCTACTTTAGGTCTTAAGATGTTGCAGGAGCAGAGTGGAAGAGTTCCTTCTCTCATACATACATGCCCGTCTAAAGTTTGCAGCATATTTCTCCCAGCTAGTCATGGACTGTCTAGGGCCCATGGGGCTGCGGCAGCTATCAATCTAGTAATCTATTCTGCTTTTTAGTTGGATGGCCAACACCAATCGGCTCCAGGTGATCTCCTCTGGTATGCTGCAGTTAGAAAGCTGGGGTAAATGATATTTGACATTTGCAAGCAATAATATGCTTTAGTGGCCATTTGCAGGAAAAATAAGTGTCCAAAGAAAACAAGAATGATAAACTGTGTCATGTGTGCTTGCAGATAAACTGAGACCACAGTATGGGGGAATTGACACAAGTGGTAACTGGTGAGAGAAGGTGGAGGGCTCTCAACTGAGCATCCTGCATGTTTATGACTAGGCTCTTTTTTAAAATAGCAATGCATCCAAAGAAAAACACAAAACAAGTTTTCAGCTACCAGTGGATTTTCCATGTTAGTGTTTGCCACTACAGGTTAGCTGTGTCATCATGGAAATAGTACTACCATCGGAGAGAGCAGATGCTTCCTTTAATAAAAATATGATGAATGAAAGGGTGAATTTCTTTGAGTTACATTTGATACACATGGCTGCCGGGCTATGGCATTTACTTTTTTTAAAAGGTCATAAATAAACAAAGAAGTAGGGGGCAATTCTAGAGAGGAGCAACCACTGATAGCATCCTGACATGTAGGAGCTGCACTGAGGGGCAGCCACTTCAACCTGCCTTTGATGCTATCTGGTTTTAAAAGATCAACTCTGCATGAATATTTACATATGCAAAATAGGAATCCAAGTTCATGTGTGACAGGCTGAAGACAAGCTACAGCAAAATATTTTACCATTCAATTAAAAGGCAAATTGTCATTCACTTTCAGCAAGCTTAATCTTTGGTCCCTCATCACCCAGATAATCAAACACTTTTTCAGATGCTGTCATTTGCTGGCTACTTCCTGCTTTAATTTGGAATCACATTCCTATTTCTGCCATAGCACTTCTTAAAAGCAAGCAATAAAAACTAAGATTCCATTGCTACATCTATAAGAAAATAACCTCCCTACATGTACAGGACCATTCCAGACTGATCAATTGGGGTAAGACTTAGATGAACAGCTACATGTAATAGTAATACATTTGGGCTTGATTGATGCAGATCTTAAAACAAGTTCTAGACAGATAGACAGACAAGTTCTGCAGGGATGGTTGTTGCCTGCTAGATTAGAGTCTAAACCATTTTATATCAAACACTAAGCCTTGATGACAAAATATATATATATATATATATATATATATATATATATTCTTCTGTAATGAAGAAAATTGATTTTAAAATTCATTTAAAAGACGACTTTACAATAATCATATAGTTCTCACCTCTTTCATCTAGTGGGAATCTCAAAGTGCTTTTACAAATTGATTGGGCGCACACAGGACATACACAGCATTTGCTATTTACATTTTTTCAGTTTTTTAAAATTAATGCTACTGTAGTATTTCCTACACTCGTTTTAAAGCAATGTTGTGAATACCATAATACTGTTAATTGCTTGCCAATGGAAATTCAAGAATTTAATAGCCACCTGTAAGTGCACTTGCACACTAACACACACAGTTTATTCAGTTAGACGCCTATACAAAATCACTTAGCTCATCCTTGAAATGTATAGTAATCATCTTTTTAAAAAAATGTAGCAATTGTTCAACACTGCTTAGCAACAGCACACAACAGGCAAAGAAGGTTTAGCTGGACTACTCTTTGCTACAATTTAATTTAAGTCTGTTACACTACCTGGTAAATAGTTCTACATAGCCAATATTATACAACGTAAACATACTAGAAACCTCAACCCATCTCAAATTTACCTAACATGATACATCAAGATTGTAAATAATGAAGAGGACAAAGTTCTGATCATCAAATTTTTTTTTATATTTTATTCCTACAAAAATCATGTAAACATTAGCATCCAGAAAAATCAAAATATGATGCATCAACTGCAAGTTTAAGAATGTGTCAAGAATATTTCAGCAATCTGTAAATTAATATATTCAGCAATTGGTACACATAACTGGATAAAAGCACCTCCTGACTGAGGAATTTAGGTGTAAGCGCTGTAAAGTGAACAGAGGCACTCCGTCCCCCTAACCGGATTATAAGACCACACTCCAATCTAATAGACTGCCCACCATTGTTACATATTGATCATTCTATTTTGCAGCTAAAACACAGTATAAAACAATTGTTGGGGTAGGAAGTTTAATACTTCTGTTTATTTGAACATATGTAGCAAACACCCCTATAAGAATGAAGAGAATAGAGCATTCCACAAACAGGTTTCTAGAAGAGTAAAATTCCTAACTTCCCTGACTGCAACATTAGTCCATCAGCACTCTCCATTTCTCAATATTTTGAATTCAGCACCAGAAGCGCCTCTGGCTAGATAGCGTGCTCCAGAAAGTATGGATGATGCTGATTGGGTGGGAAAGAAATTAAGATGTAGAGTGAATATTACACTGACCTAAAATTATCCTTTTGGCTTTGATGGAACATCCTGGACAGTTTAGTTTTCTCTCAGATTAGAAAGATCCTGGGAATATAATGCTCTTAACAACTTCTTAACCATGTGCTATGTTACTTCAAATCTGTACAAGTAAATATAATCTTTATGCTGCACTCAACATTACATTGCAAGTGCCCTCACAGTATTCCCCTTCAAAGACCAAGTACATAAGGATACAGGAGATATTACTTCAAATTTTTCAGATGACTATATATAAATTAAATGAATTCTGTATCAACCGGTGAAAAAGCAGACAACAGTTTATTAACTACATTTTAAAAAAAATATGGAGGAACATACATTAAAGAACTGAGCTTGAATAGGTTGCTCTCTCTGCTCCACCATTATTTAATTCTCCAGGATTTAAAAAAAAAAAATCATCATAGATGTGATCACATGGATTGTCCTGGAAACATCTTATTCTCTGAATTGAATACACTATGGTACAGTCAGAAAATGAACTTGAGAAAATCATCCTATAGTTACAAATATTCTCCATTTTCATGGCTGAAGTAGACTTTCTTGTAATGACAAGACATTCATTTGGTAGAGTTTGATTTACAAAACTGATATTTTCCCCCCAAAGATGAACACAATGCTTGTTTTCATTAAGACTTATTTATTTAAAAAAGTGGGACGTTATGCCCAACTACAGGACTTGCTGCTATATTTTCTTCCAATTGTTTAGGCCAAATCCTGTTCACCTTTGCTATAAGTAGTAAAGTGAACAGGATTTGACATTTAGCTTCAATTTTCTGTACACATGTATGATCAGGTTGTGTTTATTATCAGCAATGCATTTGAAGTCAAATCCCAAAACATGATCCTTAGAACAAAATGCCTGGAATAAAAGTTCACTATGAGCATTAACATCTTATAGTCAGAATCTGAGCAATTCCTGGAACAGACACATTTCCTTTAGCTCTAAAGCCACAGGTATAAACAAAATAAAGGTGCTGAAATGCTATTCCAAGTCTCTTTATCAAGATTTCTTTTTCAATTTGCTCTTCAATGGATTTGGATGGACAGAAAATACAACAGTTGGAAACTGCAGGGTTAAATCACCTGTGTCATAATGTATTAAATTACAAGGAATGCTGATGTTTCCTATTTGAACTATTAGCATAACTGTGAAGATGTTTTTACAGAGCCTCTGCACTAATCTTTTTTCAAGTCCCAAATTCCCCACTAGTTCAGCTCCAACAGTAGGAGCAGCAGCAGGAGCTTTAATGTAGGCTGGACTCTGAACGTGCACCAGTATTTAAGCACCATGTTGTCTAAGCCCACTCAGAGGAGATCTACCAGACATCATGCTGAAAATGTTGGTGGCCAACAGTGCTTTATCTACTCTACAGCTTTCAGTATTACTAACACCTGTGGAGCTTAATTGGTAGCAGCAGCAGCAATAATGAGATTGGACAAAAAAAGCCTAATGGAGAGAAGGCCATACTTTCCAACTTGGGACTAAATTGCAGACTGCTTACCAGAGGCAAAACTTCCACTGAAATCAATAGAGTTTGGCCAGTATACATTCTTGGGATGTTATGCTACAGTTATGTTCCTGAAGCCTTGAAACTCATTCGTACATTTCTTTAATGTACAGCAGCAGTATGCATTTTGGACCCATGAAGATGGTAATAGCACAGTTTCTACACTACTTCCTATGACATACCCTCCATTGTTATCGCTTCCATACTTCAAAAGGCGCGCGTGCACACCCCTCCCCCCAACAGTTGCTGTTTTAATGGGGGGTTTTTTTGTTTTTTTTTTGTAGGATGGAAAGATTACTTGCCCACTGATGCCTAAGTAATTATCATATCCTCGTTTAATTTCTATTGTGTGCACATTTATACACACCTACGTGCGTATATCTGTATATATTCTAGGTAGGGGATCATTGATATGCTGTTGTAAATCTAACAAATAGCTGAATTCCAGCAATATTACAAATCACTGCAGCAAACCTTGAGTAATTTTAGATACATCATCAAGTTTAAGAACTTGTTCACTGTTTTATATAATACTTGGGTCCTACTATAGATTTTTAAGAATGTAAGTAAACGATCTGAACTTGTTCCCTCTGCTTTCTCTAGTTTTAATGTTGTTTCTTTTTTCCTTATAACTCAGCCCCTCTTTTCCCTTTCCCAGTCTAACTTCCTGTTATCCTGCTCTCCTCAGAGTGCCAACACCAGAAGAGTAGTTGTGAGTGCTGCTTTAATTTTTGCTTCCCCATAATCCTTGCAGTTTTTAAACTTTTACTTTTTATTTAAAACATATTTAAAATTGTGAAGTTTTTAAAGCTGCAGAAATTAAGAAGTGAAAATTAAAGGCAAAAAGTACCATGGCAGTTTCAGGGATGGACTGGAACTGTTAGAATTTCCAATAAAATGGATAATTACAGGCTTTCCTAACATCACGCCCATGAGTTACATGGCTGTGGGTTTACTAGTAATCACTTTATGTTGGAAATCGGTATATTTGATAGGTTCTCTTAAAGAGAGTTTTCACATAAACTGGTATTTGTTGATTCCAAAGGGTAACAAATATAGACCAAAATCTGCCGATGAACAAGAAGACATGCAAATAGGATTTACAAAACAATTCTTTATATATGTGGATGGATGGGGTTTACATTGTATAAACAGAAAATCTCACCTCTGAAAGTTTGGTTTTAGGTTAGGAGAGTTTATAGGATTACAAATGCAGTATTATATACATTGATATTAAGTTAAGCCAGTCCATATTTTACACCCAGCAATTCAAACAATATATTAGAAGGAAAGGAAAAAAATCCTCCTCATAAATTTTTATTTTAGTCATCAAAGCACAATCCTTTCTCATCTTCATCGGTGGAATCTGCATAGGATTCAAGGGTATTATATATGAAAGGGTAAAGCTTCACATCTGGTCCTGGAGTAGAACAGCTTCTGCATTCTTCATTATAATATCTGAGCAACAGCCTGTAAACATCCCCTTGAAAAGGAAAAGAAATAAAACCAATGCACGTTTCTAAAATTACTGCATCATACTATAAGTATGTATATATTCACAACCAACAACTGTGTACTGGGTACAGGCCAGAGGATCTGCATTTACATGGATTTCAATGGCAAGGAACATTGTTTAGGGGAAGTGAAGGGACAGCAGCTCTTATTTCAGTGTGTAGGCTGGAAGTGCAGACCAAGAGGGACTGTGCCATAACCTGTGGTTTGCGAGCTAGTTGAAAACAAGGGTTTGGGTCCCCCTCAACTTCTCAGTTCCTTGCACGAAATCCATTGCTTGCACAACTCCTTGCACAAAATTACCTGAGCTCTGAGCAAGGAGTGGTGAATTTCACAGTAACTGTATGTATATACACTTTATAATTTTAAACAACAAAACCATTACAGAATGGGTTATTTTTTCAACTGATTTGGAAAGACCTAAATTTAGAGTTCTGTTTCCCACAAAAAGTTAGAGACACTACTATCAGCAGGGCAATGAATGTAGCTTCTCCTGTACTGCGAGTCCCAATGACTTCAAATCTGGCTACTTAGGTGTATCAGGGCTTGTAGGATAGGGATCATAATACCATAACAGAATAGTACGAGGGACAAAAATGTGGGTCTTATTTTTTTAAAAAGACAGAAAAGCATTTCAAATTCTATTTAGAGCTCTGGCAGGCCTTTAGTTACCATAAATTAACTTATATGATGGCACATGTTTATTATCTACCACTTTTTCAGGAATAGCTTCTTGCATAGACCTGTAATGTTGAGGTTTCCTTTACTTAAATTCAGCACTTGTAGACACTAGGATCATAAATTTCTTACTGTTCAACTTTCACTGGAAATGGATTTATTCCTCTTCGTATTTCACAGGGGAGAGAGATTGTTTTATGCTTACCTACAGTTTGGCCCTTCTCAGTGAGAAAGGTGTGCATGCTGTAAATATCTCTCATCAGCTCAGCATCTCCAAATGTAAAATAAACCACATCTCGCCCAGCCTCCGCAGCTGCAAGGATTTGTATTAAGGCTGCAGCACATAAATAAATAAATAATAATAAAAAAGAGGTAAATATAGCATAAGACAATTTATTAAAGAAGTAGAGTAATTTGTGCTCTAAATTTAAGGTTGGGAGCTTTCACAACTAATAATCACACCATATAGTATTCTTCATCTGGAGATCTTAAAGCCCACTTTTTGTAAAATTGCAAGCATCATTCCACTTAAAACAAAATACAACCAGAAACTGAAGCTCAAAGCAGGTTTTTTCATATGGAAAATAGGGAAAATACTTCCTTCTGAAGAGTAAAATGTGTAAGTATTCATGTTAAGAAACCTTACTTAGCTAGTAGTGTGATAGGCACTTTACGTATTATTTAATCACATGTTTAGCTCAATCAGCCTACAATGTTCCAAAGGATGGATCTCTATCAACTGCTGAATCTATGGAGGGTTACCATTATTTCTTGTCTCTGGACATATAACTTGTCTGAATGCTAATCTTTCCATTAACAATGTCTGTCAGGGAGATTATCCACTCTATGCTCACCAGGTGGAAGGTGATGAAGAATTTTATGTTAAACAAAAATATGACATAGGGAATTGTCCTTGCATTCACACCTGGCAGGGCAAAGCACACTAGTAAGGTATTCATTGTTCAACTAGGAGGAGGAATCTTTCCCATTTTATTTAATACAGACAAATTTAACATAGTATGCTCTTTAATCAAAGGGCCCTTTTAAACCCAGAACTAAATTATTCATTACACTCATCACATACACGATCAATCTCAATTTGGGGATGATATTTTAATTTAAATACTTAACCAACAGCCTATGGATTTGGAAACACTTCAGTAGTTCTGTTTTATAAAGGGCCTAATGAACTAACCTGCATAGGAGAACTGAATCTAATGAATCTTCACATTTAGGCCAAACGAACTATGCAACTGCATGTTGCACTAGAAGCATGAGAAGGTACTCTGTAAACTGCTTTCCACCCGAGTTTTTACTTTTAATTGCTAAAAATCTGTAAATTTGACACTCATGAAAGCAAGGGACAAACAGTAGTGACTTCAGTCAGACTTCCCACCATGCAAGCCTTCCCTTTCCCTTCTCTCACCTCTACTAGGGCCTGATCCAATGTCCTTTGAAGCTAATGGAAAAAACCTCCCTTTGGTTTCTCACTTTATTTTTTTGAACAGATTTTTTCAGGTTAGAGAACTTTTTATAAAAACACTGATCTGGGTAGTTGAGAAGTACCTCATTAAATAACATACCCCATTAAAATACATTTTCATAACACTATGAAGGTACTGAACATTTAGCATTTATTTTAGTTATCTCAGACCTTGCTCTTCCCTTTTAACTGGAACATACTGGAAAACTGGGTAAGTATTTTAAAACAATCAGGAGAGAATTCCTTTCTATACAAGAAGCATCACTTCAGATTATTCCCCCCAAAGTAGCACAATGGAACCATGAATCCTAAGTGGAACCTTTTGGCAGTACTGCAATATAGGATTATGATTTTCTATTAGATTTTTCTAAAGAAAAAACTAAGTTGGCCTGGATAAATGTTCCAGTAGGAATCTACAGAATTAAGGGCAGATCTGCTTCATGGAACTATAGAAAAGAGTGTACAGGCCAAACAGCTCTTGTGCAAAGAAATGTAGAGGACATGGGAACAACGCTGATGACTATGGCTGTTAGACTGTAGTAAGTCAGAGATCCACAGGATAATTGTATGCATATCCTTAACCCTTTCCAGTGCATACAGTACATAAAATGAACAAAAGAAAATTAGAGAATGGAAGCATGCAAATCCTCTGTGAGAAAGAATCTCAGCATTATGTGCCACACTGTGCAGTTCAGAAAGATAAACAAACAAAGCCCACTTCACAATATTAAAGCAGAATTTTTTGAAGGAGACAAAAAAGGGGCATTTCTATGAACAGCCAATTCTGTGGTGACTTTAAATCAGTTATAGCCCCACCTCAGGCTGATCACGTTTGATACAAAGTAGAAATTAATCCAAATCAAAACCTTGCCTCCAAGCACCCCAATCTTTGGGAAGATTTAGATGTAGATCCAAACTTTGTAGCTCAGTTGTATCTCTAGCTGATAGACAGACCGATATTACCACATATGTGTACACAGCCAGATAAGCTCACCTTTTAAATATTCAAAATATCTATGCTCATAGCTTAAGATCACTGAAAAAAGTCACAAACAAGCTGAAATCTACTTCAAAAAGTCTTATTTAGCCAACATAGCATTCCTCTATTTATAATCGGGATAATTTTCTTTCTTTATACTGCAGTTTGTTGAGTTCTCAGGTCATTCACTGTGACCTTGATTCAGACTGTATTTTCAATACAATAGCTTTTCTTTAATGCGTGACACTCAATCATGCTGGAGTGTGATTAAGGCTTCTAGAACAAATGTACTATTTTGTTTTTAAAAAAATATAAAATAACCAAGTTGTCCTGAAACATCTGCAGAATCTCTTGGTAGAACATTTGGAGATGAAGACTATTTTCTTTTTTAATCATCTGTGAAAATGAATTCATATCTCAAACTTGAATCTTTGCATTTCTGAACACACATAAAAACACTGGTCAACACCAGATTAAAAAGGGTTATAAAAATACATATACAAAATATAGCCAAAAATGTCATATCAGTACACAAGTTCCTCATTTCTAAAGTTGCTTTCTCACTGCCATATATTGTCAGATTTAAGACAGCCTGTAAAGTCTATATCAGTTTCTTTTAGTTAATGAAAATTACAGATGACACTGATAATCTTACATGTATATAATTCCTTCCATCATGAAGGATCCTAAAGCTCTTTACAAACTTTAACCAATAGACTTTTCCCCACCACTAAAAACTCAGCTACTATTGGGATAAAACCATTCCCAAATTTCATAGTGCAAATAATGGTATATAACATTTTAGAACAAGAGGAGAAAATATCTTTTGCACTTGAAATCATATAGGGAATTTGCCCAGGCAGAATGTAATAAGTAGTTTGAATTTGGCCAGGAATTACCACTTCAATTCTCAAGAAGAAAATCATGGGATTTTAAATGACCAGAAGTTGGTCAAGTTCTTAGTTTTGCCCCATTTTTTATTCAAAAAGGCTGTTTTAACCCTTCAAGTATCATATCAGCACTGACTCAGGGGGGAAAAAAAACGTCACATACTGAATCATAATACCTCTTGTGCATCACCTAGCTGTTCCCTAATTCTACCAACCAAGTACTGACACAGCCAAACCCTGGTTAGAGCCTGATCCAACTCTAATTGATGTCTTTCCACCAATTTCAGTGGATCAGCCCCGAAGTTTATAATATCTGATGGAAGCACAGCATAAGATTAGAGCAGCGGTTCTTAAACCGTGGGTCAGGACCACAAGTGGGTCACGACTCCCTTTGAATGGGGTTGCCAGGGCTGGCTTAGACTTGCTGGGGCCCGGGGCCGAAGCCAAAGCCTGAGGGCTTCAGCCCTGGGTGGCAGGACTCAGGTTGCAGGCCCTCTGCCAGGGGCTGAAGCCCTTGAGCTTCAGCTTTGCCCCCCCCCCCCCCCCCGGGGGGGGGGGGCCGGGGTTTGCCCCCCCCCCCCCCCGGGCAGTGGGGCTTGGGTGGGCTCAGGTTGTGAGGGTGGTGAAGTAATTTTTGTTGTCAGAAGGAGGTCGCGGTGCAGATTGGAAGATACATGTGTATATTCTGATCTATATTCTCAACACAGTAGCAGCAGCAAAACTTGTTTTCAAGTGGTACTAAATTGAGAATCTCAGCTCTGAAAAAACATAGATGGACACAGAAAGTAAGGCAAATTCCACCAGTAGGTAGAGAAAGTGGCTAGTTTTCTCTTGCCAGACTAGAGATAATTATAGCACTTGGTTTACTGGAGATCAGGTTATAAACATTTTCTAACATCAAAAGGCCACAACATTAGTGAACAAAAGCCAAATAAAATTAAACTTCTGTGCATATACTGTAACTGAAGAAAAGCTTATTTATGCTTCATAACATAATTTATATTTGTTTAAACACACACACTTATAATTCTGCCATGCCCTTATATTCTCACTCTCTCTGATGTCCTCCTCTAATTTTCATCTACTAAAACACTGGATTTTTTTTTTTTTAGGTAATGCTTCTCTCCTGGGACAGTCCTGCTTAGCCATCCCCAGACTGGACCTCTGCATGACTAGAAGAAAGGTATTTTCAATAAAGGACCATCAATTGTAAAGTTCATGTCCACTGTTGGTCCAATCATGCCTTAGTCAAGCAATCATTATTTCTAGCAGAAACCCATACATTTTGGGATTACACTGGGATATTGCATTTCAGACTAAAAAGAGCTCTTATTCAAATTAAAACATTTATTAAAACTCCCTAACTTGAACTGTCCATCAAAGATGATCACAGATTGCAGCAGATTTGGCTCTTTGTATTGATGGCCTGAACCTGGTAATCTATTTTATTTAATGGAAAACAAAAAACAGTTGTCACGAAATCAATGAGCACGGAGTGAAAAATAGGCTCTCGCTGAGTAACACACATTTGGAAAGAAAACTAATGAAGCTGGCAGCCTGAAGATCATGATGCTTACATTTAGTTTCTAACATAACCACTTAAATATTCACTAGGCCATAGTTATAAAACTAACTTTTGAAAATATTTTTTCACCCCAAACACCTGACAATAAGCAGCAAAATATGCCAATTTCTGTTTAGATTTAAATTATGTTAAATTATAACTATGCAGAACTAGATTTGGGGATTTACTAATCCAGAATCCAAACGAGTGCTTGATTTGCAGGTACCCACAAAGGGGGAAGCAGTCCCAAATTAATCCAGGACTTTGGGGTCTGCTACAGGCTGAGTGCCTTGATTAAGGGCAGTGCAAGAGAAATTGAGGGATTTGGTTGCAAGGAAGGAGAAATTTAAGAGACTGCAGGTCCCAAGAATACACGTTGCCTTTTAGGAAGGCAGAGATCAGGAGGCATTTATAGAGGCTTCAAAGGAAGCTATGTTTCCTGTCCTTTTTTGAAGATATCAAATACGTTGCACTGGCAATTGGTACCCTGTGATGAGGCAGAACCGCCCCGCACCAGCCCCAGCAGCGTCAGGCTGGTAGCACTGACAGTGGAAGTCCCGCCCCGTCCGTACTGAGCATGCTCCAAGTGCTCTGGGAGTATAAAAGGAGGGAGCCCAGCTTAGTCTGGGCTGGCAGCCGCAGGGGAAGGACCTGACTGGGAAGCGGGGAGGCGATTGACCTGGAGGCCCGCAGGGAACCTAGAGACTCGTGGGAGACCTCAATGCTCAAGCCGGTAGGAAGCGACCCGGGGGTGGGGTGACGGACTGGTACCTTGCCCCTGGCAAGCGTCAGCGTGTTTTGGCAGGGGAACCCCCTCTCCCCCCCCCCACCCCTCCAGCTGTGCCAGGGGCAAGGTCCTATGCTGCAGTTAGGGCCGGAGGCTGGGACCCGATGGAGTGGGAGGGACTCTGGCCAATAGGCCATACTACCCTGCAACCCAGGGTGACCCCAGAGACTCTGGCCACTAGGCCGCATAGCCCTGCACCCAGGGGCAATTCTATGGACTCTGGCCACTAGGCCGCATAGCCCTGCACCCAGGGGCGAGTCTATGGACTCTGGCCAACAGGCCGTATTGCCCAGTAACCAAAGGCACATACCCTCAAAGTGGTAGGGGAGAAAATGGGTCATAAGTTCTCCTAGAATGCAACTCATTCTTATCAGCCAACGATCTCCAATATCATACTTAACATTGTACATCTTCAGAGTGCTATACAGACATTAACCCTCGTGTGGGGTAGATGGGCAGGTATCAACCCTGTTTTGCTCAGATTAGGAGTTTGCTTAAGGCAGGGGCCACTAATGCTTTTCCTGTAAAAATCGGTGCAAACATACACTGGATAAGCAAGAAAAGAATGAGAATAACTTGTAACAGATGGAAGAAACTGAGGGCGAGGCAAACTGTGCTTGCAAATAACTGCAGGCACTATTTTGCAACCAAAATTATTTGCACCTGCATTTTAGGTCATTTAGGTATCTAAGCACTGTAGCTGCTTTGTGAGTACAACTAGGTAATTAAGACAGCTTTGTGGGCCCATAAATAAAGGTCCACTTAAGATCGGGCTCAAAGTTTGGCCCAGAGAGGTTTGGCCCAAAGCCACAGAGTGTGCCAGTGGTAGCAACGATTTAAAACTCAAATTCTTGGCTCCCACTCCCATGCTCATTCCATTTGACCTTTCCTGTCAAAATAGAATTATACCCTCCTCCCACTATAATGTGCAAAATACATGAATTTAAGATGGTTAGTACTACTCCAGCCCTTGGCTAGCAGCGGTTTGCTATGAAAACTCATTTCAATTTTCGGGACTTTTAAAGAGGGAGGAATAAAAACTTATTTCCTTCTAAACCAAAGTGTACAAGCACCTAAAACAGAAAACTTACTCCAACTTGACATTTGATTCATTCTGTCCTTAAAACATTGCTATTATTTACCTTTCAATCTGGAATCGCCACCAAAGGCACCACATCCCCAGTTTCCTGTGGCTACTGCTGAAAGATGCTGAGGGGGAACAGCAGGTCGAGCGAAGCCACAGTATGCCTGCAGGCAGACACAAGGCACATCACAGGAGGTTTTTGACAGTAGTTCTGATGCTATATTCTTAAGCTTAGATAACAGTAATCTGCATTTTTATTCTACTGTTTTCTGGTAACCTAAAATTCAATATATCTTCAGGCTGGCTTAAAAGTGAAAGTTAACACACTAGTTTGTTGGCAAATGAGCAACGATAGGCAATGGAAACATTTTAAAGTGAAAATTAGATAGGAAAACAAAATCCTAGTTATTTCCCCAGCACTAATGAGGAGCAGGGAATCCCTCATGCCCTAGGTAAAATTCCAAGAATATCTGTAAAACAACACTTTAGATATTTAAACTTAATGTGTACTCTGTATTTAGTGAAAGCTCACTTGGTCCACTTGAAACCTTTCCGGTGAAATAGCCACACTATGCTACAATTTAGCAAAGAAAGAGGATACTTGTACTCAGTTGAAACTGGAGGGCCTATTTAGGTAAATGGAAAATAATTTCTTAAACGGAATGTGGCTGAGACACTGGGATTAACCCTACTTGTATGGAAAATGCCATGGACTCTTTAAATTACCATACTGGTCAGGGCCTAGTTTTCGTGTCTCATCTGAAAGCAGTACAGTACTAGTACACGCCATGCTGGGGCTTCAGTTCAATATCTACTCAGAGGGAAGAGTACCACCTCCCAAACTATTATGCAGGTTCCTTAGAGGGCTTCCATCCAAGCACAGGTATTTGTAGTTTTTTTGCATAATCCCCTTTATCCTATGCAACGCCTGCTGCCCTAGGCCCTGCATAATTGTCACCTTTCAAGGATAAGGAAGTATTTCATTTCTGGTTTTCACAAAACTAAAGGTTAGATTAGCTATAGGTTTAAAATGGTAGAATCCTTTCTTACTATGCCTCTCTCATATACCAGTACTGTAAAGTTAATACAAATTCTGTCCTTTTTATTTTTTAAGGTTTTTGTTTGTTTGGGTCTTTTGACCACCCAATTGTTTCTCATAAAGGTGTAAAATCTCTTCTCATCAGAATTTAGAGAGCATGACCAAAAAAGGACCAACTTGTGATTTGCCAGCTCCATAGCAATCGAAGACAAAAGAAACTCATCTGAGCCAAGGAAACAGAATGACCTTACAAGAAAAGGAGACAAATTTTCCCAGCACTAAATTAAATGTAATGAAGCATTTTTGTGATTGCTTGTGAAGTGAAAACTTGAAAAGCCTATCACTGATCCACACATGGAATATTATGAGACCATTACAGTAGGTTAAACCACTATGTAACAGCAGGACTAATTTGTCCCATGTTCTTTAAAGCCCTGAAACTGAAAATAAAATACACAAAGCCATCTTAAAATACAGGTCTTATATAATATTAAGTGAGGGAAAGAGGGGAAAAACCTGACAGTCACTCACAAATCTTGGATAAAATTAAGATGCGCCTACAAAAGACCCAAGGGAGAAAAAGGGCAAATCTCTCCATGAAATTTTTACAAAGGTATAAAATTTATTGAACACATTGTCTGGTACGGATTAGTAAACCTGGTTTTTTCGCCCCCAAGTAGTCTGTAAATTCTGACAGATATTAGTTATGATTTGGCAGTACACCATTATTCAAAGTTTACAACAGAGAGCTTACACAACAGTTCACAAATTACCTGTTCCATCAGATGCATGTGGCTTTTTAAAGTCTCTCTCAAGTCAGAAATATTGGTGTGCTCAATGACTGGAGTAGGTTTGTGAAAAATGACAGCACCTAGCAAACTATTACACAGCTGTGTGGAAAATAAATCTCCCCAGCTGAAAGAACTGGATCTGGATTGGAACAAGACAGCCATTTTGTTTCTGTGTTTGTTTGTTTATTTGCGGGAAGGAGTGGGACATGTATTTTTGAAGTACACAGAGAGAATACACGGAGAACATAGAAACTGCCTTTATATTCTCTCTCACTCTCCTATCTAACAACAGATTGAAGCGCTCCAGAAGTAGCAAACTGAGTGCCTGGAGTACCTTTCATTGCTCCACAATGACCCTTATAGCCAATATAAGAGGGAACTGTCTTGGTCATAAAATATCTCAAATTTCTAAACAATGATAAGTGATGCTCTGCTGGAAATTAAAAAGATCAAGTTGCATCTTGATAATTAAGCTATAAAGTATCACCAGGAATAGACTATTATTAACTAGCACTATTCTCAAGGGAATCATGATGATAATGCAGTAGCCCTGTGTACTATCTTACTATTACATTTCTTACATTGTGTATTTGCAAATCTTAATATTGAAATCAGGCACAATGGATGCATTAGAATTCTAAACAGCTGATCTCGGACAACATTAATCAGTTTTTTTCAGGGATGGGTTAAACCAGGTGTACAGCCAGTTATATTATAGTTATCTTAAGTTTGGTTAAAAAATAATATATTTGCTTTATAGTTTGTGGCTAGTAAGCAGAAAAAGACCCTAATCAGCAAATAAAGGAAGGCTGTGAGAATAATTAGTAGTAGTAGTTGTAGTGTAGGAAGGATGTATGGTTCAAAAATAACTAATAAGCTGCAGTAGCAAGAAAAATTGCCTTAAAACCTTTCCTCTTCAAAAGAAACAAGCACAAACCTTCCCATTGTTCTGCTGGTAAGCAAGGAGATGGGAGTATACAAGAAAGGAAGGAAAAAAGGAAGGATAAATTGCTTCAAACTGGGCTTTTGCTACAGCTACCAAGTTAGCTGATGGGTATAAAGAGAGCCATGAATCTGAAAGTTCTTTGTCAGACCCTACCTGATCATTCTGGAGCACACTAGGATGAGACGGTTTTCCCTAGGTCTGACCTGTTTTTAAATATACTGATCGCATGCTTATGAATAATTTGTTACTGTATTGGTGTAGTGACTGCTTATCTTTAGGCTGTTAGGCATGTTTTGAGCAATTGTATAAATACCATTTGTCCTTTGGACTTAATAAAGAAATTTATGGTTGAATTAGTGTTTGGTGATCTCCCATATTAATATTAATTTCAAATAATATGAATAATTCCAACACCATGAGTAGGTGTCAGTCCCAACAAACTGCCTCTTGGGAAAACTGACTGACAACTAACATCTGGTCCCACCGAGATAAGTGCAGCTTAAAAAGGAGATACAATACCAACTTTTAAGATAGGCTCCTTTTAAAAGATAAAACCACTCCATTAAATGTCTCTCTCAATTATTTCCTAATGCTTAATAACAGAATAGAAGTATAACAGAACTGCAGGAGTCAATGGATACTGATCCCTATCCTATGATGGGGTGCCATTCTTGTATAAACAGATATTTGATGGCCTAAATAAATGGTCTAATTAATTAAATCATAATACATTTTAGATAAGAAGAAATTGTAACACTTATTGTTTGTTTCCACACCACACCAAAAATTAACTCTCTTTTAGATAAACGGACTGAAAACCAATGTAGACAATACTCTAGCAATATGTTATCTTCAGAAGGCATGGTGATTTCTAGTATGATTTAGTATAGAATTCCTCCTTACATTTGAGTTTACCTTACTTAATGGAATGTAAAATCTATTTCACTCAGCAGTTGGCTTAGCATTTTCTTCAGATATGATTAACCTGTTCATGTTGAACTACCGCTGCCTAACAGGAGTTCTAAACAGAAGAAAATGCATGCATTTATCCTAATATATGAAAGGATTTGCATCTATTAATATGATTGATAAGTGTAGTCTGATCTCAAATGCACTGGGGTGGGCGATTTAGTTTTCCAATTAAACTGTCACTGAAGTTTACTAAATTCATTTACTGTCTTTTTCAGGGCTTATTTCATTACCATCAGTGATGGAATGATGTGATGTATGTTACTTTATACAGGAAACACAGGTTTTTAAACTAAAATTAGTCTTGATTTTTTGGAAAAATTACCTTAAAAGTGGTATTTCCTTTTCAGTTGGAAGATTAATGAAAAGCTTCCTATACTTGCTTGAATTTACTTACATATCCACAATAGGACCTGATCCTGAAAGGTGCTGAATGCTTCAATTCCCACTGAAGTAAAATGGAAACTGAGGTTTCCCAGTACCTTTCACAGTAGGGCCTATACAGTACATATGTAAACCTGCTAAAGATTAATTACAAGGCATAGAAATTAATGAAAAACCTGCCATGTTTATTTAAAAAAAAAAAAAAGAGTTGCAGCTAAAGATACCTGTAGCAGGAAAGGTATACCAATAATGTAGAGTATCATCAGAATTCAATGTTTACTTCGTTTCTAGATGGGGCTAGGATCTGATCCATAATAAAGCAAGAGACTTCCCTCTCCAGTGTTTGATTGAAAATAGAAACTTAAGTTGGATACTCATTTAGAAGAGAAAAAAATTAGTCCAGAATTTGGTCATGAATTAGAAACTGCGGGCAGGGGTGGGGGAGGCGGGGGAAGAGAAGGAAACAATATCAGTATTGTTAACCATCAATCTATAGAAATATGAGGTACTGTACTTTTTTTGTGTTGTTTCTTTAAAATCATAGGGTAGACTAGATTCATTACAGCTAACCAATCTTAAATATAAATTGCAGGAAATATTGGTAGTGGTAACTTTTTAGTTCTGGCCTTAGAATTTTTGAAAAAACATTATTGGGAAGATTTGGACAGACCTATTAGTTTCCATTTAGAAAATTAAAAAATGTATGCCAAGACAGAAACCATTTTCCAACAAGCATTCTATCTGGCATGCTTAAACTTTAATCTTACTATTGCAAAATATGAAGGATACCTATTATGAAACGATACTGCAATTAAACAAGATGTCCCCTTCAAAGGAGTTGCTGATGCTGCAAGAACTATGGGAAAGCATAACTCCAACATTAATAAAATGGCTGTAAATAATGGGCCTTAGAAGTTACTGGCCTTGTTGAGTTCTCTTCTAATTTTCTCAGGAACAAACTGATCAAGAAAACGTCTGAAGTGAAATGCATCGATAGCAACAATTTCAGTGCAGCGCCTCTGCCATTCATCCCTATATTGGGAAAAGGAGGACAGCAAAATTTTGTGTAGTCAATAATATATCGTCAAAGAAACAATTCCAAGAATTGAAGTGTGACTCAAAGCTTTATAACTCATTCAGCAGGTTAACTCTTTCAGTAAGCTAAGCTACAATTACCTGTTCTGAAATGCAAACATGGCAGAGATAATAGCACCACCTTACCTCACACTGATGTGAAAATACATTTATTATGTCTGTGAAGCACTGATATCATGGTGATGAAGGCCATAAAAAAGCCCCTTCAATGTGTTACAGATATTTTTGTACTGCAGACTCATAACTACACTGCAGACGTTATGAGAGTATAAAATGAAGTCATAGGTAGCTGTGGCTTTTGGCACCTAACAAGGTAATGCTCAGCAGTGAAACAGTAAAATAAACTGTCATCTGATTTCAGAGTTAGCACCTTTTCTGAATAGATGCAATTTATGCCTCTCAGAACTACTGTTGCAAGCTGTACAGGCTAAGGAAGACAATACTGTTACAGTTTGCACTTGGTTCCTCTTTGAAAGGTTTTCTTTGGAACCATAACAGCTTTAAATTAATGAATAATTAGTTTATTACCTTAAACTATCCTGTTGCCATAAAATATATGGGCCTTATCTATAACAAAGCACCTACATGTTTTCTAGCAGTTTTTAAAAACCCAATTGGTCAGATCTGTAAAAGAGAAGCTAAAAAGTACCCGAGAGCCGCAGTTCAACATTCGTGATTATTTCTGAAAAAAGAGTAAGGAAACTAAGGCTAAACTTTAATGGTAAAAATGATCTCAGCTACTCAACAGTGAATGCATTACCTTGGGGTATCATCTTCATGGCTTCTCGCCCATCGGTATGTTTCTGCATAGCCTGTATAGTCACTGTATTGCTCAGTACCTGAAATAAATCATTTGTCATGTTACACACGCAATTTGCAGATGTTTCTCTTCTTAATACATCACCTCCTCCAAGGAGTCTTCACTCCTCTGAATATATCTGCAACTTATGTTAACACTAATGGGAGCTACATATGAACATTATGAGGCAAACCAAACCCTATGTAATCAATATGAGTCTCTTTTCCATAGGGGGTAGTAAGTGTCCAACACAGGCAGTCACAACTGCAAGTCTCTTTTACCTGTGTCCACAAGTCCTAACATACATTTAACTACCTGCAGTTCTCAACCTCCCCAGTCCAGAGTGAAATTCAACAGGAAAGACACCAGGCTGATGGCTAAGGATGCAGATCTTGGGAGTAGCAAGTTATTTTTTGGGGGGTGGGGGGAAAGAATGGAAGGACACGAGTTAATCCAACACAGAATTTTTCCAATAAACTATTTTTCCTTCACGTTTTTACTGGTAAATGTCTATTTAACAAAGAGATCAGATGCCTTACTGACAGGGTTTTTTTTGTTTGAGACACAAATAAAGAAAATTAGCTTGCAAAATTTAGTAGAGAGAAAAGACTGAGAAAAGCGTCTGGTTAGCATCACTGTAATGCACTGACAGCGTTATTATAAGGAAGGGAGCTGTCATGCTTGATCAACACAGAAGACCAAAATAAGGGAGCATCATCTCTGTCACTTTTCTCTGTGATGGGCACAGAATAGTTAACTATTCTTTCATACGAGCAAGAATATTTTCCCTAATTTTAATAATCGGACAATGATTTCTAATCTATATTGTTCAAAAGATCAGAAAGTCCATGTCAAACTTTTCTTTTATATATATATATTATATATAAAAACAAGGTTTGACATATTAGAACCCATTAATATATAGTTCAACTCCTTAACATGACATGAATTATTAATTCATTTAGACCAGGACCTACATGGGCAGTAGGTTCACAGGTACATAGACATTGAAACAAGTTGACTCGCATACATATTACAATGACAATAAAATACTCCACTATTCAGAATACGTATTAAGCACCATTCACTGAAAGACTAGAATATACCCCTAATGAAGGAAACATAATAAGAGGAGGAAAATGAGATCTTAGGCCTGGTCTACACTGGGGTGGGGGGGAAATCAACCTAAGATACGCAACTTCAGCTACGAGAATAGCGTAGCTGCAGTCGACATATCTTAGTTCGACTTACCTCGCGTCCTCACGGTGCAGGGTCGATTGCCGCGGCTCCCCTGTCGACTTTGCTTCTGCCTCTGGCCGAGCTGGAGTTCAGCAGTCGACAGGAGAGCGATCGGGGATTGATTTATCGTGTCTACACTATACGCGATAAATCGATCGCTACCCAGTGGGTAGTGTAGACATACCCTCAGAGAGAAGTACATTTTCACAGGGCAACATACATTTCTCTGAAAGAAAGTCTAGAAAATGCATGAGGGTGTAAGGGCCAGAATGAAGCAATTCTTATTGCCCTGTGCCAGGAGTGGTACAGAGCTGCATCACCCCAACAGGAGCCTTGGGCATCTAGATTGCACACCTTAAAATCAATACATCTGGTCTAGGGCTGTCTTTCACTGGATGTTTGTCATCTTGGACCTCAGAGACCCCTGACTGCTACTCCCGCTATGCCCTTACCCCCACTTGCACTCTGAGGGCACATCTTCACTAGTAATGTTAAAGCGCTCCCAGCATTCAATGGCTTCCTCTTCCACACTGCCTGGTTGCCAGCAGGGGGTCACTGACAGCACAGAAGAGAGAGTTTCCCTGCTGTCAGTTCTGGTGCCTGGCCCCACCTCAGCTCAGAGCAGCTGGGAGCAAATTACAGAAAAAGTCCTTCTGAGACCCTCAGTCTGGAGCTGGAGCATGCTCATTTCACTCTGGGGGGAAGGCAAATAAGCAGTCCAGATAGCAGACAAGACACCCTCTGCAAAATTTCAAATCACTGCTCCAAAGCATGGGGGCATTACAGCCTTTCAAGAAAAGGTCTCAAGAATTTTTTTTAACATGTGCAAAACAACATTTTTTCCTGGCTACTTTCTCTAAAATGACAATCTTTTTGGCCAAACATTTTCAAAAAATCAGCCTGAGACAGACACCCCCATGGAAAATTTCAGCCCAAATGGTTAAAGTTTGTCAAAGTTATAAGCATTTGAACTGGGTCTTATAACGGTAAATGTTGGACAAACTTTATAATAGCCAGTATTACTAGCCCCGCTTATAATAAAGCCACAGAAAATGAGATTACTAAGTAAACTGTAGTCCTCTATGCAGTTAGGTACATCAATTCACACTTGAGTACTTCCTTATATGAACCTAGACCAGGGGTGGGCAAACATTTTGGCCCAAGGGCCACATCTGGGTATGAAAATTGTATGGCAGGCCACGAATGCTCACGAAATTGGGGGTTGGGGGGGTGAGGGCTCCGGCGGGGGGTTGGTCATGAGGGGTTGGGGGTGCAGGAGGGTGCTCTGGGCTGGGACCGAGGAGTTCGGAGGGCGGAAGTGGGATCAGGGCTTGAGCCGGGGGTTGAGGCACAGGAGGGGGTCAGGGGTGCAGGCTCTGGGCGGCGCTTACCTCAAGCAGCGGCATGTCCCCCCTCCAGCTCCTACACAAAGGTGCAGCCAGGCGGCTCTGCGTGCTGCCCCATCAGCAGGCCCCACCCCTGCAGCTCCCTTTGGCTGTGGTTCCCGGCCAATGGGCGCTGCAGGGGTGGCAATTGGGACAGGGGCAGCGTGCTGATCCCCCTGGCTGCCCCTATGTGTAGGAGCCAGAGGGGGGACATGCCGCTGCTTCCGTGAGCCGTGCGGAGCAGGGCAAGCCCCCGACCCCGCTCCCCGGCAGGAGCTTGAGGGCCGGATTAAAACATCTGGAGGGCCGGATGTGGCCCCCGGGCTGTAGTTTGCCCACCCCTGACCTACACTGTGATCCATCCATACACCCCCACATAAATAGAGCCCGGCAAATCCGCAGATATCCACTTTATATCTGCAGATGGATGGATGCGGATCCACATTTTATATCTAAAGCCCTGCAAATCTGCAGATATCTGCTTTATATCCTCAGATGTCCTCCTCCGTGGACGTGGATATCTGCGGATCATTTTTGTGAATCATGGATCAGATGCAGATACAAATTTTGTATCCGCGCAGGGCTCTATTCATAAGTACATTGTATGGCAATCAAGCCCACAATCCTGCCAAGCACTGAACCCTGCCCCCCAAATTAATTAGCCCCCCCCCCCCCACAAACACACACTTAGAGGTACTACCTCCTCTCTTCCATTGGGCCATGCAAGTCCATAATGTGGGAGCACAAAGCACCCCTGACTTCTGTCGCCTGGGTGCCTCCAGCTCCAGCTGTGGAAGGTGCCCTTTCTGGCTGAGTATATGGCTTCAGCAACCCCTCGCTGTCATAGCTCCATTCAGGGAGAAATGACTCACCTCTGGCTTCACAAAGATTGTGAAGAGCACAGCAAGCCACAGTAATGAGGACAGTACTGATGACACTGTAGACACCTCCAACAGAATTTTAATCTGCCTGATGCACATTCAACCATCATTCTACACCTGCTGAGAATGTAATTAAATTGTGTTTTGCCAAGGCCTCTGAAATCAGGGTATGGTTTCATAAGCCAAGGAAAAAGAGGGTGCGTGAGGTCCCCCAGAATAATGGTGGGGACAGTGACCCCATTTATGACAATGTCATTTGTTGAAAATAGTGTCCCAGACTGTCCATCAACGTAGACTCCGAATCGGTGATAAACTCAGGCATCATGAACGTTTCCAGTGTACCCACGTTGACATTCATAAATCAGCTTCTGTGGTCCACCAGTGCCTGCATAACAATGGAATAGTCCCCTTTCTGGTTTATGTACTGATGTGCTCCTTTACGAGGACAAAAAATGGGTACGAGTCACATCAATGGCCCCAGCGCAGTTAGGAAACCCAATAGTCTCAAAGCTAGCAAATACTTCAGGAATATCTTTAATGCCTGCCACTTTGGGGTAAACCACATGCCTGATTGCCTCAGAAACCACCATCACCACTTTACCCACAGTCAACTTTCCAACACCAAACTGGTTGGCAACAGGCCTGTAGCAGTCTGGGGTAGCCAGCTTCTAGATAGTTATAGTGACCCGCTTCTGGACTGGCCAGGGTGACCTCATTCATGTCTCTTTATGCTGGAGGGAGGCAAGCCGCTCACAAATCTCCAAGAATGTTGCTTTCTTCATGTGAAAGCTCTGGACCCACTGCTGGTCATCCCAGGTCTGCATGACAACATGATCCCTACAGTCTGTGCTTATGGCCCTGCGCTAGAAGCAGCAGTCTACGTAGGGGGCATCAGCGGCTATGACAAGTGTATTGAGCAGCATAAGGGAGTGCGAGTCTGCCATGCCAGGGTACTCTCCCTCCTCCACCATGGCATCAGTCAGGTACCTTTGGTGGGTCAGAAAATGCTGTCAAAACGTCAACAAGTGCCTCACGGAAGCTTTGCCCATTTCTTGACACATGAGCGAAGAGCGCAAGCAAGAGAAGTTCTTCAAAAGGCACCTCCTCCATGTTACTGGCTCTTAGCTGGGAGCATACAGACCAAAATCACTCCTCAGCAGGCTGTGTTGGTAGGCTGTTCAAACATCCTGTAACATGCAGGGTAGGCAGTAAAGTTTTCCCATAGCGCATCATGGTGAAAGGGCTAGAGAAGTCACAATTCAGAAGGACACTAGGGACTCTGGGATACGACTGGTTTGACTCGGGTGTGCGTACTGTAGTGTTGATGCCAGAGCCCCAGGTTCAAGCCTGGGTTTGAAAGTCTTAACTCAGGTTTAAGAATCAGTGTAGACGCTCAGGCCCAGGAGTTTCTCCCACAGGTCAGCTAACTCAAGTCCCATTAACGCTAGACTTACACTGAAGTTTAGACAGATCTTAAGAGTACGCTTACCATTAAAAACGCTAAGTGAATCTGGCACAGACAGTGCATTCAGTCA